TAAAGACAGAGATAATGCCAACCTTAAACTTTAAAAAATCCATAGGTATAAAGGTATAATTTCTGATTGAAATAATGAAGGAGGTAATTTACTTCAGAATGATATACTTCAGAATTTTTACATATTAAATGACTTTAATTACAGGTTATTTTAGAATGAGGGGGTTGAAAATAAAATCACCAGTTAAAATCCAGTATATTTGCATCCTTTGCTAAGTTTATTCCTCAGTGTTTTAGCCTTTTCTTGCAATTAAAAAAAGAATTTGTTGTTTTTTTTTATTTCTTTTTCTGAAATTTCATTGTTAGTATATATGAATGCAGTGGATTTTTGGACATTGATTTCTGTTTCCTGCAACTTTACTATATTTATTATTTCTAATAGTTCTTTGGTGGAATTTTTAGGCTCATAGACACAGACAACAGTATGTGAGTACCAGAGAGGAGGGTGGAGAGGTAGCAAAGGATAAAGGGGGTCAAATATATGATGACAGAAGATCTGACTTTGGGTGGTGGGCACACAATGCAATATACAGATTATGTATCATAGAATGGTACACTTGAAACCTATATAATCTTATTAACCAATGTCACCCAATAAATTTAAATAAATGCAATATATTTAATATAAAAATTATGAGTCTGATTTGAAAAAATGAAAATGAATTGTACATATTACCAAGGAGCCACTTCCAAGGCCTCTAAGAGCCATATCCAGTGTTGCAGTATGCCTTTTGTCAAATGTCAGCAAGTATGTGCAGAATTGTAAGTTTAACTAGAAATGTATATTAATGTTGAATTTTGAGAATACAAATACATACATATGGACAATAAAAGCTATACCCATTTTTCTTCTAGTGGCAAAAACAAGGTTGGCTTTTTTAACTCGCAAGTTTCAGAAATATTATTCCAAGTTATTGTCTTGGGGAGATGCATTACTTACATTTAGATATGCTGTCAGTTTTCTTTCTCTATCCATCCCTCTAATCTATCACTTATAACTCCACTTTCCCATCCTATATAATAAAAGGCTAATATGCAAATTGACCAAACAGCAGAACAACTGTTCGCTATGATGCACACTGACAACCAGGGGACAGATGCTCAACGCAGGAGCTGCCCCCTGGTGGTCAGTGCGCTCCTACAAGGGATTGCAGCTCAACCAGAAGCCGGGCTCACTGCTGGTGAGCACAGCAGTGGTGGTGGGAGCCTCTCCTGCCTCCACAGTAGTCGGACATCCCCTGAGGGCTCCCGGACTGCGAGAGGGTGCAGGCCAGGCTGTGGGACCCCTCCCCCTCAAGTGCACGAATTTTGTGCACTGGGCCTCTAGTTTAAAATAAAGGAGTTTGGACCAAATCTATCCTTAATTTAGATTATATATTGAATGCCTAGTTTGTGCTAGACATTGTTCTAAGTGAAACAATGGAAATAAATGTAAAATGCCCTCAATCCTCTAAGCAGCAGGTGACAGGGGTGCGGGCACAGACAGCAAACCTAAAAGTATAATTTTAAATCATGACGGGTGTGATAGGCCTTTCTCACAGGAGGCTCAGTTGTGCTATGGTTTGCAGCTGTTTGTCATCACCCAAAGTGTCGAGTGGAATCACACACCTTTGGAGAGCCTGGTAATACAACAATAACAACAACAGCAACAAAACACCTTGTAAAAATGTAGGCTAGAAAATGAGTGGGGGTGGAGGGCACATTATAAATGGAACGGTCTCTTTGAGGCCTGAATAACGGGAACAAGATAATGACAAATATTTTGAGGAGGAGTATGCTAGATAGAGGGTCTACTGAATGCAAAATTCTGAAGAGGGAGTCGGTCTGGTAAGCACAAGGCACAGAAAGAGCCAGTGTTTCTAAAACAGAATAAATGAGGGTGAGAATGGGAGAAGATGAGGATGGAGACGTCTAAGAGTTGCTAAGGTTTCTCGCCATTCTAAATTCTATGTTTTTCTTTGATTTAATTGGAAATAAAGAATTGGTAGAGCTGCAAAGTGACCTTCAAAAAACAGTGAACCTGCTGGCATTTGAGGGACATAATTATAGAGACTCTTGAAGCATCAGCATGTGTGATCATCTTCCCCTCAGGTGCAATTGGACATTTCAGGATAGCACAGTCATTACAATCCCATAACACCATCACCATTATCTTTCCCAGAGGTGGGCTGCTTTTGGCCATTGTTCCATAGGCTCTTCTCTGGACCCCGGAGTTTGTGGGCTTATGCAGCATGGAAATAGGAACTGTGAATACTTGTGTAGGTATGCTCAAGTAACTGATACAGCAGTTGTGGGTGTCAAGTTACAAAACCCTATCAGATAATATTAAGAAGGTGATTGGATAATTTCCATGAAGTAATAAACAGTCTGCAGATATTCCTGTTAAACTTTCTACTCTGTGGGATGAAGGACCTAAAGTCATGAAAGAGCCAGCTGGTCTGGACAGGAGGGGAACCCACTGTCATCTTGGCACACCCTGGACCCTCATGAGAAGCTAGTGTGTGACAGACAGACTTGTAAGGACAAGAGGGAGGCCAAAGTCTAATTTAACCCCAGGATCCAGAAATTTTGGATGCCACTAACTGTTTTGTTACTCAGTACCTTCCCGTTTTGGTTGGATTTTCTTTTACTTACAACCAGGGAGTTGGGACCAGTCTATTTGTTTATCCCTGACAGGTGACTTGGACACATCTCTTCTTTGCAATGTAAAAGGTGCTAGTGATTGTCCACACGAACCCCTCCAGCCACAGGCTGGGGTGGGGCAGTGGAGGAGAATGGCCCATATTTTTCACTAACTCCACCACAGCTCACCGTGGGACATGAAAGAAGTGCCTGCATTGAGTGCCACTTTAACCTCTTATTGACGACAGGACCTTGGGCTAGTTAGTCACTGTGTTTGCTTCAACGTCTCATATTGAAACTCTCCTTGGGTTATTGCGAAGCTTAGACAAGATAAGGGTCATGAAAGTGCTTTGCCCACTGTGCTAGGGATAACATTCTGACCGGGCTGGGTTGCAGACTCTTCCCTCCCGTCTCAGCTGAGACCCCAAAGATGGGCAAGACTCCATCTTTCACCACAGCAGCTGATGGGCTTGAACTCTAGAACCAATCAAAGCCAGAGCTTCCAGGAGAAGGCAGGAGCCAAGTACTGGGTCACAGCCCCCTCTCTGTCTGTTGAGGTTTTTTATTGCTGTGTAACAAACCACCCCGAAACCCAGTGGCACAGAGTAAGAGCCATTTTGTTCTCAGATTTCGTGGGTCAGGAATTCAGATGTGATAGAAATGGCTTGTCTCTGCCCCAAGATATTTGGGGCTTTAGATGTGGACTCTAATGCTGAGCCTGGGCTCAGCTAGAATTTTCTCACTCACATGTCTTCCTCCTGACTTCACTGAACTGAGATGACAGAGAGGCTAGGTCAGGCTGGCACTGCTACAGATGAAGACTCTTCCCTTGTCAACTTTAGCTACTACCTGCCCTATCTGATAGAATCGCTACTAACCACATATGAGTAGTTGAGTGTAAATTAGTTAAAATTAAATATACTTAAAAACTCAGCTTCTTAGTCACATTGGCCACATTTCAGCAGCTCAGTAGCTACATTTGGCTGGAGGCTGCCAGATTGGACAATGCAGCTAAATAACATTGCTGCCATCAAAGAAAGATGTACCCGTCGGCGCTACTGTGAGATTTTTTGTCTGACTCATCTTTGCATCCTCAGACCTGATCAGAGACACTCAGAAATGTTTGTTGAATTGATAAATGAAAGTAGAAATCACCATTTGTTTTTCAAATCTGTATGTCATACAGATCTTTTCAAAGCAGCAAGATAAGAAAATGGAACATACTAGTAGATATCTTGTTAAATGAAATAAATCAGTTGAATGTGTGTTCTATAATCCTAATTTTAAAGCTTTTTATAAGAAAATGAGTTATGTTTGAGCAAAAAGCACACACACAGAGATTAGGTAGTATGTTATTTTCAATATTAAGAAAATTGTGGCTATTCTCAATGTCAAGTATTAATGAAAGGCAATTTTAAGAGTACATAGACTAAAGTATTCAGAAACATGGTATTGAAGTGTAAAGACAAATCACAGCCAAGTCACATGCAAACCACAAAGTCTCTTCCCTAAGGAGTGCTCAAAGCAATATTTCCTTTCTCCAAATATGGCTCCCTTGCGAAGCTACAGAGAAGAAGGCAGATGGCACAGCTCTCATTTCCCTGTTATACCTCATGACACAGCAATACACTTTGTTCCACTTCTCCTTAAAGAAATTACTTCTGTCTATTTCAGGAATTATCTTAAACCTGGGAATGAACCTAGTGGCTGTGACAGGGTCAGAATACTGACACACGGACAGTGGTCCTCTTCTTGCTGCCTTACTTGGCTCCTCATTTGGTAGTTTATGAGCTCACAGATGCTGGGCCAGACTTTAGTCCCTAAAATTAAGACGTTCTGCTTGACAGAGCCAAATCTAAATTGCTGAAGCAAGGACAGTAAAGCATGAAGCAGTGCCTTAAAAAGTAACTAGGGCCATCAAACCCACACTAAAAGTCAACATGATTTCAAAATGAAGATCTTCAGATGCCACAGTAATTTCTCAGGAAAAAAAAAGGCCATCGTTAGGAGAATACTAAAGCTAAATGAGAATAACAAAATAATACAGGAGACCAGTTTAATTAGCAGCTCTGCTGTTTTATTTCATGCTCAGTTGATGGGAGAAAATATTTTCATCAAGCTCTTAAAATGATTGAATTGAAAGATATGAATGTAATCATCTGGAAAAATGGCATTAACAAAATAGTTTAAAAATAAATATGATAGAAATGACTTCTCTGCAATTATTATGTTCATCGACTATTAGTTATTCTTAAACCATGATGGGTTCTAGATTTGAGTAAAACTCCTAGAGGAGCTGATATTGGAAGAGGTTGGGTTGTTCGGTGAATGACTTCTTTCTTAATGTGTTTTTTTTCTGTTGCTGTTTCTATTTTTCAGACCCACTATGAAAATGGGGAATACATCATCAGGCAAGGTGCAAGAGGGGACACCTTCTTTATCATCAGCAAAGGAAAGGTAAGCTCTGGTAGAGCAAGAGTGATGTTGGAGGGGACCCGGGGTTCCTCAGTAACCCTGGGAGCAGCACAGGTGCAGGGTCTAGACCAGCCGTGGGCAAACTACGGCCCGCGGGCCGGATCCGGCCCGTTTGAGATGAATAAAACTATTGAAAAAAAGACCGTACCCTTTAATGTAATGATGTTTACTTTGAATTTATATTAGTTCACACAAACACTCCATCCATGCTTTTGTTCCGGCCCTCCGGTCCAGTTTAAGAACCCATTGTGGCCCTCGAGTCAAAAAGTTTGCCCACCCCTGCTCTAGAGCTATACCAGCGTTTCCAGTTTCTGAAGCTGAAAGAGAAATACTTGAAAATAAATTTCCCAAAGGAAGAAAACATATAATGCTAAAGACTGGGAAATAGTTTATGTGCTATGCTATAATCATGATGCAAGATGCCACTGGTATGTCTGCACGAATGGGAAGATTTCCATAATTAAAAGTACATGATTAATAAGGAAAAAACTAAGGTTGCTTTAAAAAAAATTTAACAGGAAAAAAATCTATCCAGTCATTATGCTATAATGAAACATCTGGACTTCGAAATTGGATGGCCCAAGTTTTAATTTGGCTATATAACTTGTTAGATTTAGTATCCACAGGCAAGTTGCTTAACACTCTGAGCACACTAAGGACATAAATATATGCATGTTCTATTGTATATTCTTAAAAAATATTGAGTGAATTCTAAAAACTCTTAAGATGCTAAATTATAGGACAATATAAATGAGGTAGACAAAGGAAATAAGCAAAAAATTATATTTTATTCATTACTATATTGTTTTAACTTTTTAATATTATGAATCTATTATAGTTTTTATTTAAAAACCAAATACACCCTAACCCATTTGGTTCAATGGATAGAGCGTCAGCCTGTGGACTGAAAGGTCCTGGGTTTGATTCCAGTCAGGGGCACGTGGCCGAGTTGCAGGCTCAATCCCTTGTAGGGGGCGTGCAGAAGTTAGCCAATCAATGATTCTCTGTTATTGTTGATGTTTCAGTCTCTCTCTCCCTCTCCCTTCCTCTCTGAAATTAATAAAAATATATTTTAAAAATAACTAAGAAAATAAGTGAATTGGAAAATAGGGACTTATGTAGATTAATACTCTGGAATTAGCCCTAGCCGGCTTGGCTCAGTGAACAAAGTGTCGGCCTGTGGACTGAAGGGTTGCAGGTTTGATTCTAGTTAAGGGCATATGCCTGGTTTGTGGGCTAAATCCCCAGTAGGGGGCGTGCAGGAGACAGATGATCAATGATTCTCATCTTTGATGTTTCTATCTCTCCCTTTTCCTTCCTCTCTGAAATCAACACACACACACACACACACTGGAATTATAATGCTAAAATATATATCTTTAAAAACATACCTTAAATTTCTCTCAGCAATAAAGTCATAATTATTTTACATTTAAGTATCATTGCACTGTAACCTCTGATTTGAACTTATTTTGATTTATTATAAATGATCTTTAAAAAGAATTTGCATGTGTTAAGTATAGGAAGAAATGGGGGAAGATTTATATGTTTTTATTTTTACAATTGTTACCTAAAAGTAAGTATATTCATATCCTATGATTTAACAAATATAACTGAATCTTATATCTAGAAAAGAGACTTAAAGAGCCATAGTGAGCAGGATATGTGAAAGATTATAAATCTTGTTGGATTTTAGATAATCCTCTTTGAACTAATTTTGAATCAAGAATGTGCACATGCCAATGTTTTACACCAGTGGCATGTCAAACTAAAGTGAAGAAAATGCTACTTATACCTTCATCATACGTACTTTTTGACTGATATCAGAAAGCCTGGGATAGAAATAGAAGTCAGGGACTAGCTTCTTCCAAGGCATCCTGGAATGACACGTCTGACCATAGTTATGGTTAAAACTATATCTTGTGTTTTCCACTGTTAGAAGATAAGAGGTGTTAGCATTTTATGTTTTATATATATAAATAGCTAGAGCCTACCATTTACTGTTTTATTTCTTAACACCAACTAAAGAATCATGGAAATTGAAAATCTTGGTGGATATAAGTGACTCCATTGGTCACAGGGAGACTTTTCACCCTCATGCTTTGGGTGTATTTTTCTTTTATTACATTGCTAATTCTTTGTTATCAGAGGATGATATGTTTATCAGGTAAGATGAATTTCTGACAGGCTTATGTGAATACTCTATTACTGTAAATTCCCAGCGCTGCCTAAAAGAAGCTGTGTTTGCAAACCAGTTTCAGCTGAAGTCAGGTGCATTAGTGGTGCTGTTTTATGAGTTTCATAATAAGTCTAAATAAAAGTGGCATGAAAATTACACCATGGGAACCAATTCCATTGGCAATATTTTGGAGCACCATAGGGATTCCAAGAGGGAAGGAATAAGAATATATTAGACTCTTTTGATATATTCAAGATATTTTTCTTAAAAATATTTTTTATTAATCAGTTTGATCAATTAAGTAGCACCAGTACTTGTCATTTGTTGATCTGTTAATGGTAGCCATTCTGACAGGTGTGAAGTGATGTCTCATTGTGTTTTTAATTTGCATCTCTGAGATGATTATCAGCATTGAGCATTTTTTTCATGTGTCTATTGGCCATCTGTATATCCTCTTTGGAGAAGTGTCTATTTAAATTATTTGCTCATTTTTTAATTGGATTGTTTGTCTTCTTGTTGTTGAGTTATATGAGTTCTTTGTATATTTTGGAAAATTAACCCCTTAGCAGATGTATTATGTTCTCCCATACGGGGTGTTCCCTTTGCATTTTGAAGATGGTTTCTTTTGCTATTCAGAAGCTTTTTAGTTTGATATAGTTACATTTGTTTATTTTTTCCTTTGTTTCTCTTGCCCTAGGAGATGTATCAGTAAAAATTTTATGACGTGTCTGATTTTATTGACTATGTTTTCTTCTAAGATTTTTATGGTTTTGCAACTTACATTTAAGCCTTTTATCCATTTTGAACTTATTCTTGTGTATGGTGTAAGTTGGTGGTCTAATTTTATAATTTTGCATGTATCTAATTTTCCCAGCACCATTTATTGAAGAGACTGTCTTTACTCCATTGTGTGTTCTTGCTTCCTTTGTCAAATATTAATCGGCCACAATGGCTTTCTGGGGTCTCTGTTCCATTGATTTATATGCCTGTTCGTGTGCCAGTACCAGGCAGTTTTGAGAACAGTGGCATTGTAGTATAACTTGATATCTGCTATTGTGATATCTGGTACTTACTATTAAGAAGATGTGTTGATAGATTTTTCTCATTTAATACATCTCTCTCTCTCTCTCTCTCGCTCTCTCTCTCTCTCTCTCTCTCTCTCTCTCCCCCTCTCTCCCTTCCTCTTTCCCTCCCACCCTCCCTCCCTCCCTCTCATTTTTGGACAAGGTGGCCAGGTAGCATGGATTCAAATAGAAGGCTCCATAGCTAGTTCATTTTACAGCATTGTGGATCAGAAAGTACTTTGTGGTTTAAATAAAAATGATAAAATACAGGCCAAAGTTAGAGAGTCTATCTCTATTTAACTTTCTCTACTCTGAAATGTCTTCAGAATTAAGGATACAAATGTCCATAATGGTATCTTCATATTTAGAATGATTCATCATGCATACAAAGAAAAATGTGGAAATTAAAACTTCAGAGGAAAGCTTTATTCTTGCTCTTTGAGGTGCTTATTTTTTTTCACATTATAATTTTATCCAGTTAGATTTTTCCTCACATTTATCATATAAGCAGAAAGTGGTTTATTCTGTAGATGGTTCACTTTTTATTAGATCAATTCAGTAACATCTTTAAAGAACATTTCAAGATAACACTGAAATTTCTCCATGGCCTGAGTAATTCTGCCACTTAGAATTTCTAATATATTTTATTAACCAAATGGCAAATGTACAGTTATACAGTATATCCTTATATCTGATTTTGAATCCATGAAGTTTGAGAATCACTGGACCAGTGTATTTCCATCCACATCTGTAAAAGCCTTGTCAACATGCAAATGAGCATCTCTATGCTATAACTCAGTGGTAAGATTGTTAAAAACCACATTCCTGTGGTTTTGATACTCTGTGTGGAGGAGTAGTCAAATGGATAGGTGGAGAATAATAATTGAATTCTCTGTGCTTTTTACAGACCTTCTTAATACTTATAAAAATTCTGGTCTTTGACATGCAATCTCTAAATTCAAAAATCTAAAGCATAGTGTATTTAAATGTGTGTAAGTGTCTGTCATTGCCTCAGGACATTAGTTTTACTCCATTTTCCAGGCGTTTGTATTTTAACTACCACTTAATTTTTCTGGGTGGCACATAGCCAGTATTATGAATATCAGTAGAGCTGCAGGGAGATTGAATTAACATAAAGGTAAAACTTATTGCATCGCTTTCCTTCTGTGGATTATTACTCAAGTCTCAAGTCCTATATGGGCTGAGATATCTTGTAAGAAAGTTTTTCCGTTCAAACAATTTACAGCTCTTTATTAAGTGCTTATTCCAAATTGTAGAGAATGCCAAAGAAACATCTATTTCTTTGAAGAGCATATTATTTGTTATGCTTTTAAAAGACATATATGTAATTTCTATGTCTTTTTAAAAAAGAAATTCTGTGAGTGTGGATTGTGAGGACCTGAAGACTGTATCAGAGACCTGCGGGAAGACCTTCATGAAAATGTGGCTGGCTTTTGAATGAAGGCTGGGTTTTTCTTTTTTTGTTTTTTTAAAATTCTCACCTGAGGATATGTTTTCATTGATTTGAGAGAGAGAGAGGAAGGGAGAGAGAGAAACATCGATCAGTTGCCTCCCATAAATACCCAGACTGGGGATCAAATCTGCAACCTTTGGTGTATGGATGACACTCTATCCAACTGAGTCCCCCAGCCAGGGCAAGGCTGGATTTTTCTTAAAGGAGATAGGCATGCCATAGAGAAAATGTATGTGCATGTAGAGGTGTGGAGAAAGATGTTCATTGTAGCAAAAAAAAAAAAAAAAAAAAAAAAAAAAAAAAAAAAGGAAACAACATAAATGTCCATGCATATGGAAATTGATAAATTGATATATGTACAGAGTAGAAGAAGGCAATGGATGAACTCTATATTTAGAAGCATGGAATAATAATTAAAATAATTGTTAAAAGAAAATGTGTAAGTTACAGAATGATACATACCATATTATGCTACTTATATACAGTATTTTTAAAAACACATGCATATAAACACATCATAAAGGATGGAAGGAATGGTCACTAAATTTATTATAATAGTTCCATCATAGGAGGTTGGAAATAGGATAAGGATGAGGATTAATTGGAATTCAAGTTTCTGAATAAGTTATTATTTCTTAAAAACAAATTGAAAGTATAAAAAATATTTGAAGGTCATTTCTTTGGCCCCTTTAGTGATAATATACTTGTATTCCTCATAAAAGTAATTTGAAAAGAAAAAGAAAAATGGAATTGCCAGTATCAGTGAATGCTCATTGGGTCATCCAGAGTATGCAATGGATACAGACTTTCATTGTTTCTCTTTGTAGGTAAATGTCACTCGCGAAGACTCACCAAGTGAAGACCCAGTCTTTCTTAGGACTTTAGGCAAAGGAGATTGGTTTGGAGAGAAAGCCTTGCAGGGGTAAGTAGATCACATGTCACACAGTTTTTGCTTGAGTACTACATAAATTCCTGCCTTAAAGATCGAGCTCCTAACAAAACAGGATTTTAGTGCTGATTCTGATATCAGACATGGACCCTTGCTCATTTTTATTTTATTTCCAGCCGGAATTGTAATATGTGTAGATAGGCTGTAGGATTGATTGGTGGTTAACTTCTGTAATAAATAATTTTTATATTAATAGGAAAATCTCTCAGCTTTATGTTTCTTAACTCTATAAAGATAAAAGAGAGGAAGATGCCTCTGCTAAGCTTACTTTGTACAACAGTTTTATTCAGAATCACAGGAAGATGGTTGAGAATTTTGAAATCCCTAAACCTGGCTGAACAAACAATAGATGGGAAAGCAGTGATTCACCTCTGGCTGGCTGTCCTCAGTGCTGGTTATGGTAATGGGGGTGGAGGAGCAGGTGGGCGTGGAGGTGATTTATGCATATGCAGACTCACTCTTGAGGGCTCTAAAGACGGAAGAGGTGTACTGCCAGATCACTGAAATTGCACTTGTAAACTAAGACCTCAAGAAAGAAGCATTTGGGATTTCTTCCCATATACTATGGAAGAAAAACTCAGTTGACTTTGTGCCACTGAATGTACAAAATGCACGACAAATATGGCAGATTTATTTGGGTATTCTAGTCTTGATGTCCAATAAGCAGCACCTCTCGATTATCAGTAAATAGAGATAAAACTTTTCTGAGTTTAGTGCTGTAAGTATAATAAGCCACTGGAATCAGAAATAACAAATAAACATTTATTTTTGCATCATGTTCCAGGTGTAGGACTGTCTACTAGAGAGGAACAGCAATAGGATCAAACATATTCCTAAAATATTTGGAACAGTTTTGTTTCCATTTCAAATGATGACTTTATTTTAAAAAATACAAGCAATTTGCTTAAAGGTACTATAAAGAAAGTTTAAGGAGTTTTTAACATTTTATTTTTAATGACAGTTTATATTCAATATTATTTTGTGTTAGTTTCAGGTGTACAGCACAGCGGTGAGACAATCATATATTTTACAAAGTGGTCTCCCCAACGTTTCAACTACCCCCTGGCACCATACAGAGTTATTATAATATTATTGATTATATTCCCTATACTGTACTTTACATCCCTGTGACTATTTTATAGCTACCAATTTTTACTTCTTAATCCCTTCACCTTAAGGAGTTTTTATTTTTTAAGCCACAATCAGTTGCCAGGTCTTATTTCCTTCCTTACTATTTCACAACTACAAAAATAAAACAGTGATTTTGATGTCATCTTACTCAGGCCACATTATCTTGTGAAAATTCAGAACTAAGTGCACTTGATTTTCTGTGTTTTCTTTTACTGAGTTCATTTGATCCGATCTGATGAGTGTGTATTTGCCATTAAATTTTTCCAATGGCAAAGTTGGAAGAAATGCCATGGTTGGTGTAGATACACAAAATAATGCAATACTCATAATCTTCATAGCATAAAATATACAAAGATACCATTTGTGCTTTAATCTTTCTTTCCCTTGATTATTATATACGTAGAGGATTCTAGAGGATAATGCCACCTGACTGCCATGGTCCAAGATTAAATGTTTCTGTGAAAATTGTGATACATTTTCAACATATAACATTTTCAAAATATAACACTTTATATCATTTCTGATGAGATCACAAGCGGAACACCAGAAAGTAAAACATAATTGAGAATTGAAAGATTTTCTTTTGTAGCTTACTGTCATTGAATCTTGGTGCAAATAAAAGAAAGCTTTTATGGTGAAAACACCTTCCTAAAATGGGTCTTAAGAAATGACCTTGGGGATATGACTTATGAAAAAGATATCAAAGTTTGCTCTGATATCAAATTTAAGTTAATGCTTTTCCATGTAGATTAAATTCATGCTAACATATGCTTATTCTTATAAACTGCCTGTTGTCAAATCTCTTTTGAACACATTCATTCAGCCTCTTTGCTAGCCAATCTGTCACCACACCACCACCACAACCGTTACTACACTGACCTATCCCCATCCCTTTATTTCTTATGGCCTTTGGTATTGTTTTGTCACTACTTAACCGGGCTTTATCAGTCTACTGTAAGTGTCCTCTTAAATGTCACCGGAAATTTCCTACTGACATCATAGAACCATCTTTCTTTTATCTTTATCTGACTTAACATCTCTGCCACAATTTTACACTGTTGACCACTCCTTCCTTCTTTACATTTCCCATCCTTTGAGAGCCCTGCATGTGTTAGCACTCTACAATTTCTCATTTGATTTTCTAAAATTCACCAGGGTTTTGTCCTCAACTCTCTCTGTTACATAACATCTTGGTATACATCCATATCCATCACTGCATAGTCCTTCAATGAAAAGAAGTCCCAAATCTATACTAATAAAAGGGTAATATGCTAATTAGACCAGATAGACTGGACGTCTTCTGGACGTCATTTTGGATGCCTTCCTGACAAAGCCGGGGCCCAGGCAACGCCACCTGGGATCCTGGGTGCCTGCACCGGCCCAGGCAAAGCCGGCCCGGGTCCTGGGTGCCTGTGGCTGGCCAGAAGGAGGGTAGCCTGGGTCCCAGGTGCAGGGGCCGAAGCAGAGGCAGTTAGGGGCGATAGGCAGGCAGGCAGGCAAGTGGTTAGGGATGATCTGGCAGGCAGTTGAGTGGTTAGGGGCGATCAGGCAGGCAGGCAGAGTGGTTAGGGATGATCAGGTAGGCAGGTGAGTGGTTAGGAGCCAATGGTCCCAGATTGACTTGAAACCATATAGAATTCACATAGGCATCAGATTTGTCAAATTCTAAGCTACTTGGATCTGTAGTAATGGGAAATATATAAGAATATGATGAACCTGAGAGAGATGGGATCGAGCTTCCACTTGCTCCTCCCCCTCCTCCTAATATTTGAGTCTTCAGCATAATATATGGTTAAGAGTTCCAGCTCAGAAATCAGACTGCCTGGGTTGGAATCCACTCTGTCATTTATAAATTATGAGACCCTGAGAGATTCTCTTTTCATCTGAAATGAAAATGATGATTGTCTCTAACTTTTTGAGTTACTGTGAGAAGTAATCAAGGGAATACTTATAAAGCATTTTGGGTGACTACTTAGAATTTAGATGAATGCTCAAAAAAAGCCAACTCTGTCAGCACTACCACTATCATCTTTATCTCCATTATTATTATCAGCAATATCAACATCCATCACCGTAATGCTGCTATCACTGTTCCCATTCCCAAGAATGTTCTGGGCCAGTTAACCTCTCTGAGTCTCTGTTTCTGAAAATCTGTAAACTGAACCAGTTGAACTAGATGATCTCTAAGTTTTCTTAGGGCACAGTCTCTGCTTCTCTTGAAATGTGGCCTCTTTTCAGCTGGATCAGATCTCTAGATTCTAAATGCAGCTCTGGGCCACCCTAGTTAAATAGCAGACCACTGCCAGCAGGGCCCTTTCCTCCAGGAACTCTCCCACCTGTTGCCTGTCATTCTGAACACCTACACTACATGCCAGGCTCTGCCCTTGTTTGTGCAAAAACCAATCAGCCAGTCAATTCAACACACTTTGGTATCACAAGTCTGTATTCCCAGATTTTCCACTCATAGACTGTGATCTTAGGAAATTTAATTAATATTTCTGAACCCATTTCTTGGTTTTCTCTCTCTTTTTCAATTAATAAAATAATATATAAAATGATATAACACATATTGATATAGCATATATCATTCATTTATTTATTTGGAAAGACTTTTGGTTATGATTCAAACCTCTTTTGTATCCTTCCCCAGTACCTTTCCTCCCTCCCAGTATCATTACCCTGAAGTTGGCTATATGCATCCTCAGTGATTGTGTGTCTAAATTTTATTGTGTATGCATATATGTATAATAAACATATACATATATGAACATTAACATATATAAACTTGTTTTATGTGTGTTTAAGTTTTTACATCGGTGAAATCCTATTCTGTTTCATTTGGGGTCAATATATCATTTTTTCTTTTCTTTCTACTGCCATGCAAGTTGCACTTGTGTCATTCCTTTGTTTAGAAGTTTTACCTTCCTTTTCTATTCCTTTAATGATGAATTTTTTAAATTTTTAATATGTAATGGTAATTAATAGCTCTATCCTTCACTTGAATAATACAGGAATCTTTGCGTGTTTAACTTCAAATTACTCTTGCCTGCTTTTTATCTAGATTTGTAGTATATAGTTCCATATGATTGGTAAATCCTCAAATATTAGTCATTATTATTGATATATTTTTTCAGATCCTACTCAGATTTAGTAACTTGGTTTACTTATTATAGCAGTTCTTCCAACAATGTGCTTAATTATAATGCTGAGATGCCTAGAAACTTAACTCTTGTGTATATTAGTTATCCTGTGATAAAATTGGTTTCATTACACGTTGTTTTGCCACTGTCTGAAGAACCTATTAGCAATATTAAGTGAGAACTTACTGTAGTTTTCCCACTATTGCTTACATTCAACTTATTTCTTTTGAGTTCAGAGATGATTTATTTATGCTTTTTGCCTTTGCCTAAATGTGAATGACCATTGGGTTATGCATAAAAATCTAGGTTAGATTTACTTTTTCTCAGAATCTTAAATATTATTCCACTGTCTTCCGTATCCATAGTCTAGAATTAGTCAGTCACTATAAGTAATGTCTTTTTCGGGGGGGTGGGGGGAGGGAGGGTAGGTGTCTATCTCTGATATCCTTCATTTTTACTATAATCTAAGTGCAGATATGTTTTACTTTATTTCATATGACTCTATATGTCCCTTTCTTCGGAGAATGCAATTTTCCTCAATTCACAGCATTGTCTCTGCTTATCCCCTCCCCCCCAGTTCCTCTTTTTGTTTTGTCTTTTGGTTTCATCTCCTTATCCTCCCATCCTTGCCTTCTTATTTCAGGTTTATAGGTTTTTCTTATTATTCTGTGCTGCTTTTGTAATGGAATCTAGGTACATTCT